GAGAAATAGTTTTTAAATAACCTATAATTCTACCACCCAGAGCCATTAGCTTTTTAAAATACTTTCCTTGGGTCTTTATATTTTATATAGTTGGATCATACCACACTTACAGTTTTATTTCCTGGATTTTTTCTCTCTTGCCATTATATCAAAATCATTCTTTCATTTTGTTAAATATTCTCAAAAACATAATTCTTAAAGGAAGCATTATATTCCAGTATATGAATAAATGTATTGTCATTTATCTAACCATTTTCATAACACTGGTCATGTATATTGCTTCTAGTTTGCAATCATTATTGCTGTAGGGAACGTTGATGCTTGGTTTATCCCATATATGATTATTTTCTTAGGATAAATTCCTAAAAATAGAAATATCAAGTCAAAAGCCATTTAAAGACATTGTACCACTGTATAATTCCACCAAGATATGAGAATGACCCTTTGCACTTTACATACACCAAATATTTCATCTCCTCCCACCAAAAGAAAAATTCTTGCTATACTTGCAGGAAACACTACTTTTAAAATGAGTTGCTGTATGCAATCTAGATTTTTAAAAGACTTTTTCATTAATATAATTTGTTCATAACCATTCAAGAAAATCATGGTATGTGAATAATTCAACAAACATTTGTTCTTGCCTATATGGGGGCATATTCATTCAACAAGTATTAATTGATAACCTACTATGCGCCAGCCTCTGTGGATAAAGCAGTGAACATAGCAACATATCCCTGCTCTCATGGAACTTGGAGTCTAAAGAGAGAAGATGTACTGCAAACCAGATGGCAAATAAACACCACGAGTTCAGGTAGTGATAAATGGTCTGAAGAAGTTAAACAGGTGTGGGGCGGGGAGTGGGGGCAGGGTAGCCCAAGGGTGGTGAGGAAAGGAGCCATCTCTGAGTGGGGACCAGAGTGATGAGAAGGAACCGCTGTGCAGGCTTGACTGGCAGACACTGCAGCAGCTGGGCGCAGACCTTGGTTCCTGAGTGCTGAGAATGTTGGCAGGAAAATATGCTCTGTGCTCCTGTGTCCCACTGATATTTTAAATGCTGCACATTACCACTGGCCAGTTGCCTATTTTTCTTTTCAAGGCAAGGTCTTACCCATCTCCGTGTAGATTTCACAAGCTCCGAGTTAGGACTGTGCACTCCCCATATTTCATCCAACTCTCCTGAAATCAGCCTGGGGAAGGTCAGCTGTTTTCCACCTTTCTTTTCATTCCGGGGTGGGAAATTTGAATTGTAACCGTTCCACTGGCATTATCCCATTTTTATTCACAGATTTTCAACAAATTTGTCCAGTTCCTTTTTGGTTTTGTTTATTCTGTTTCTTCTTTTGGAGGCCAGTGAGAATGGGTGGAGGAAGAGCTTATCTAAGTAATGCATACTTGTTGCAGAAAATGGGGAAAGTACAGAGACAAAAAGTAGAGAGAAAAGATCACTTGTAATCTCTATATTCAGAAATAATAACTCTTAACAATGTTGACTTTCTTAATATTTTTTCAGTACTTTGTTTTTTCTATGCCTTTTTAAATATAGAGCATTCACATCTTTTTTTAAATAATATAACAGTGTATCAGAGGAATTCGCCATGTCACTGAAACACTTAACATTTTAAGTAGCTATAGACTCTTCCATCGTTTAGATGTACTGTTATTTATTTAACTGTTTCTCTGATATTGAGCATTTGCACTTTTCCTCTCTTGTTTGCAGTTGTAAAATGTGCTATAGTGAACATCTTTGTTCATTTATCTTTGTCCCCATCGCCAATCATTTTCCTTAGAATAATTCCCCAAAGTAGTCCATGCCAACCAATGGTACATGTAGCAAAAGTCCTTTGAGTTGGCCAGTTCTCGATTGAGTTGTGGAAATGTGGCCTGCTTCCTTGCCGGTTCCTTCTAGATTGAGAGCCTGAATAGCACAGTTAGTTTGCTGACCCTTCCCAGCCCCCTAACCACTGCCCCATGTGTTGGAAGCAGTCTCTTTGTCCCCCTCCCTAGCAGGACAGTGATGCCCTCCCAGGCAGGCCTACCAACGTGGAGCCCCTTGATGTCAAGGCCTGGGTCCTGTCCGTCCCTTTGTCCCTGGTGTCCAGCCCACTCTAAGTGGCGTTGCTTTACCCTCTGCAGCTCCCTGCCCTGGAGGACCAGCTCAGCACTCTCCTGGCTCCAGTCATCATCTCCTCCATGACGATGCTGGAGAAGCTCTCAGACACATACACCTGCTTCTCAGCGGAGAATGGCAGCAGCCTGTATGTCCTTCACCTGGTGAGTGTATAGCCCTGGGGCCCACGTTCCTCTTCCCTCAGCTCCATGGAGAGTCTGCTGCCTCTCCCTTACCTTGAACTTTAGACTCCTTTAGAAGGCAGAAACTGCATCTTGTCAAGGTGCCCTGGGACCTGAGCCTCCCCTCACTTGTCCGAAGAGATCAAGGCAGATGAAAGGAGTCCCACAGGGGTGGCTGACCTTGGCCCGGCTGTGCCCACAGTTTGGAGAATGCCTGTTCATCGCCATCAATGGAGACCAAACAGAGAGCGAGGGGGACCTTCGGCGGAAGCTGTGCGTGCTCAAGTACCTGTTCGAGGTGCACTTCGGGCTGGTTACTGTGGACAGCCAGCTCATCCGAAAGGAGTGAGTCCTCAAAGCTGGCCCCTCCATGCCCTGTGCTAAGTACCCTTGCTGGGCTGGGCAGCCCCCACGAAGCTGCCATTCCACACTCTGCCCCTGGCTGGGTCCCTGAGTCAGAGAAGCAAAGCTCAAGGGAACCTAGAAGACCACATGGCCTGACCGTCTCATTTTACATATGGAGAAGCTGAGGGCCAGAACTTAAATAACCTTCCCGAGGCCATCCAGCTGGTTAGTGTAGTATCCAGCCTAGAAACCTGAGCTCAGGACAGTCAGTCCAGTTCTCTTCCCATTCCAATATCAGTCATCTGTCATTACAGACCTGGTCTGAGCTGATCCTCTCTTTCTTCCTAAAGAAGCTGTAGACTCTGCCTCCAGACAGATGCCTGCCCATGCACACACACAGTCTCATGAATATTTTCTGAGGGGTCAAACCCCCAAACCCATCTCTGGGCCCATAGTAAAGAATTTAGCAAAAGAGAGTATGGTTCAGGGTATACACTGAAGTGAGAAGGATCCCAGAAAAGGAGCTCAGTTGAAATGTGGACTCAGAAGAGAGAGGTTCCTGGTGGGATCACCCCCTGATTCTCCAAGATGAATTGGGAAGTTGCAGAGTTGGAAACTCTGGGTCTTTTCACTTTTGCAGCAATGCGAGCAATACCCATATTGAGGCACTTATCAAATGAACAAATATCATTTTGTGAGTCATTTTGGTTTCGGTGGCAAATGCTGCAGGCAGCGGATGCCTGTTAAGGGACTCGTCAGCATTTGAGATGCCACACCCCTGTGTACAACCCTGATGGCAAACCAGAGTTTTCTGTTTTCAGTGACCTTGGGGGCATGGAGAGGTACAGAAAGCTCAGGCACCCTCCTGGCTCTCTCTAGCTGGCTTTATGTGATATGTCTGTGTGTGAAAGAGGCTGAGGAGTGATGCGATGTGCTCAGGCGCCTGACTCCTGGCTCTGGGCCCATCCCACCACACTCCGCAGCTGGGGCCCAGCCTGAAACATGGCCTCTTCTGTTCTTTGTGGGCTCTCCCAGTTTTATTTGGTCATGTCACTTATGAGTTCACCCAGCTCTGACTCTGATCTGGGACTGATCCTTCTGTTTGATGGGGATGAGCGGCTTTGTCATGGTCTCTCCTGTTCTCTCTGGCTCTGCCCCCAGGCTGCGGCCCCCGGATCTGGAACGGCGTGTCCAGGTGTGGGAGCACTTCCAGAGCCTGCTGTGGACTTACAGCCATCTGCGGGAACAGGAGCAGTGTTTCGCTGTGGAGGTGACTACTGGGTGCAGGAGTCCTCAGGCCAAGGAGGTGGCAGGTCAGAGGGGGCATCCAGCTTTAAGACCATATTTTGACCTTAATGAGTAGGGGAACAGGCAGGCCCTGTAGGTGAGTCACTGCCTGGCTCACCCCAGCCTCCTCTCAGGCCTCTTGTCCTAAGCACTGGTCACATGACACTTCCTTCAGTTTCAAGAATACTCTGTTTAGCTCTGTCCAATGTGGATGTCAGTCACTACACGTGGCTCTTAAACACTTAGAAGGTAGCTAGTTCAAATTGAGTTAAGCTATACATATAAAATACACTAGATTTTGATAACTTAGTACAAAAAAATAGTATTTTAGACATATTGGGTAAAATAAAGTACATTGTTAAAATTAATGTCACCTCTTCCTTTCCTGTGGTTACTAGAAAACTCTAACTCGCGCCCTGGCCTGGCCGTGTGCTGCAGCTGCGCGACACTGCTCCGCGCTCTCCCACCTCAGCCTGTGCCAGTGCTGTTTCCTTGGCTCGCTCTGTTCTTCCTCTACCTCTTCCTTTCCTGTGGTTACTAGAAAACTCTAACTCGCGCCCTGGCCTGGCCGTGTGCTACAGCTGCGCGACACTGCTCCGCGCTCTCCCGCCTCAGCCTGTGCCAGTGCTGTTTCCTTGGCTCGCTCTGTTCTTCCTCTCCCTTTCTCTGGCAGCCCTCCTAGTTCTTTAGATAACAGTTTAAAGGTCACCACCTCGGGTCCCCTCCCAGGTGGGTCTGTGCTCTTTTTCTGTGGTTCGGTTCTGTGTGTGTCCTGCTCGACGCTTCCTGCAGCTGGCACGTACTCTTGACTGTTCCCTCCTTACTTTGTCAGCCTCATCCACTAGCATCAGTGACCCAGACCCTAAGTCTCAGGAAGGTGGGACCATGCCAGTCGTAGTCTCCCTGCTCCCAAGTGTGGACTGAGCAGATGCACCCCCCAGCCCAGGGTCTGGAGCCAGGGAGCAGGGTTGGTGATGTGGCTTCCTCTCCCTGCTCATGTGACCAGGCTGTGGAGCGCCTGATTCACCCCCAGCTCTGTGAGCTGTGCATAGAGATACTGGAGCGCCATGTCATCCAGGCTGTCAACTCCAGCCCCGAGCGGGGCGGCGAGGAGGCCCTGCATGCTTTCCTGCTCGTGCACTCCAAGCTGCTGGCCTTCTACTCCAGGTGAGCCCCAGCTCAGTCCGCACGTGGCCTTTGCCCCTTCTTACATGGCCCTCGCCCCTTCTTATGTCCTCTTCCTGAGAAGCACCGCTTCCTGGGCCAAGGAAACCTTCAAGACCCGTCTCTTCCATGAAGACTTTCCAGATTCTTCAGTTCCTCAGACCCTCTCAGTGCACTCATTTCTCTAAAGTATTTCTTCCTGGAACCATGTCCTAGAGTCTGGATTTAGAAGAACTTTCTTTTGTGCTGTTATTGGTCTCTGGTGCTTTCCTGTTGGTAAATTTTTTTTTTTTTTACACAACTAAGTTTTACTTTAAAAATTGATGAGTTAACTAATTTTATTTATACTTTGCCTGTCTCCAGAAAGGATTAAATTAGCTGGCACATTTGTAGACTCCTTGAGGGCGGGGGCCAGGCTACAGACTCCCTGAACCTGCCAGGCTCATGTTTACAGGCTGCCCGTTTCCTGTCTCTGCAGCCACAGTGCGAGCTCTCTGCGCCCTGCCGACCTCCTCGCACTTATTCTCCTGGTTCAGAACCTCTACCCCAGCCGGGCCAGGCTACAGACTCCCTGAACCTGCCAGGCTCATGTTTACAGGCTGCCCGTTTCCTGTTTCTGCAGCCACAGTGCGAGCTCTCTGCGCCCTGCCGACCTCCTCGCACTTATTCTCCTGGTTCAGAACCTCTACCCCAGCCAGAGCACAGCGGAAGATGATGATGCCCAGGTTGGTGGCAGCTCCCTGGGCAGTGGGAGGCTGTCAGGGAAATGGCTCAGAAAACCAGCCTGGAGAGTGGGGGTCAGGCTTCCTGGGGAGGCCGTGGTCCCCAAGTCACAGTTCTAGTCATGTGGTTGGTATGACTTTTTTCCTGCTGCTTTCAGATATAAGGGGAATTCTGGAATGCAGGTGGTCTAGTGGGTTAAAAGTGCAGATTTTTGGAGTCGGTCGTGGTTTGAAACCCAGCTTTAGTGCTTAGCTGTGTGAGCTGAGCAAGGACTTGCCTCCCTGAGCCTTGATTCCCTTATCTGTGCAGTGGGGATAATGATGGCATCTGCCTCTCAGGGTTGTTATGAGGCACAGAAGAGACAAAGCACATTGAGCCCAGCAGTGCCTAGGGCATGGTGAACACTCGGTGAGTGTTAGCAACACCATTGACCTTGTCGTCAGCAGCAGTGGTAGCGGTAGCTCTCAGGGCTTCTCTGTGAAGTGCGGAGAGACAGAGGACGGATGGGAAGCAGGCAGGTCAGGCATGCACTAACCCGTGTGTCCCCTGCCCTATCACAGCCTTCCCCACCGAGGCCCCAGAGAAGCCAGAACATCCCTGTGAAGCAGGCCTGGAGCCCTCATCCCACAAGCCCAGCCGGGGGGAGTTCTGCAGAGACGGTGTGTGCTGTGCGCTGCGTGGAGGACAAAGGGGAGGGTCTGCCTCAGCCATGTGGCCAGGCCTTTCCCACCTTTCCTGCCTCTCCCAGGAGAGCAGGGCCAGGCTGAGCCAGCTGGGACAGCCTCTCCTGGCCCTCAGCTGAACCGCCCTCTTCTCCCTCCCAGGAGACAGACAGCTTCTCCCTCCCTGAGGAATACTTCACACCAGCTCCTTCTCCTGGCGAGCAGAGCTCAGGTGAGGCCTGGGGAGGAGGCGGCAGTGGCAGCATGGGGCAGTGCCAGTCAACAGCTCCTGGGAATGTCTTAGGATTCAGCGGATCCCACACCTTATAAGGGTCCAAGCACAGATACCCACATTCCTAGCACATGGGATTCTGTCTGCAGCTCCCCCGTCTTCCCTACCAGTGCCAGCAGGATTCAAGGACTGTTGAGACCACATAGATGATCCCTAGAGCTTTTTATGACAAGTGGATTTCATTTAAAAATTTATCTATGTGTATTCTCAGCTTTATCTTTCTTTTCTGTAATTAATAATGGAGTAAAATTAAGTAATAATCATTTGATTTTAAGTACATTTTAAAATATAAATATTCCATCTCTATTGTTTATGCCTTATCTGTTTTTCCAAAGTATATGGGTAAACAATAAAAAAACTGTAAATATTCGAAATGTTGACAACAACAAAAAAATAGACAACAGTGCTTAGAAGTAGATAAACCAAAATCCAGGCTGTTGTATGTCACTACAAATGAGCATTACATTTATCTCTGAAGTTCTTAGGGGAAAAAAAAGGAAGGAAAGCAAGCCAGGGTTTCAGGAGGAGAAACTTCTTTGGGAACTAAGTGTGGAAAGGAACTTCCGGTGTGGCTTCCTTAAACCACGGTGTGGCTCCCAGCCCCAGCTGCACATTAGAATCACTGGCCAGCTTCAGCCAGTCCAGTTCAGGCCCAATAGATGGGCCTGGGGCCCAGGTGTGAAAATTGCTCCAGGTGAATTCAGTGTGCCTCTGGTAGTAGTGGTTACTGCTATGTACAAGCTTAGGTTAAACAGTGGTTCTCACCCAGCTGCAATTGGACTCATCTGGAGATCTTTAAAAACTACTGAAGCTAGGCCTGTTCCCAGAGATTCTGACTTAATTGGTCTGAGCTGTGGCCTGGGCTTCAGGATTTTTAAAAGGTCCCCAAATGACTTCCATGTGCAGCAAAGGTTGAAAACCATTAGGTTAGATGTTCTTAACTTTAGGACCTGGAACCTGCTTCAAGGAGCCTGGGACCCCCTGAGGTTTTGTGCCAATTCATATATGCTTATACATTTTTCTGGGGTGAGGGTCCATAGCTCTGAGCTCTCCATGAGCCCAAGATACATTGATCACTACTCTTGGGTGATCTTTGAGGTTCCTTCTTACCACTCCCTTCCCTCATTCATCACGATCCTCCTCCTGGCCCCTCTGTCTTGGTAGTTTTTTTATGCCTCAGAGCTGTAAGTAATGCTGTTTTGCTGCACACAGAACTCACGACTTACAAATGGACTGAGTTCCTGTCATCCATTTTAAAATCAGGTGTTTGAAAAGTAGGAACACACTTTCCCTAGAGAAACATGATTATAAATAAGGGTTATTTGGAATGAAATATGAGGTAACAGTATTATTACAAGCACGTAATATTTCATATATACGGTGGGCTCAGTAGGTTTTTGTGAGCAATACAGTACTAGGAAGGAAACCTAACTCAGTTCCCAGCACATAGTAGGTAAAAGTTTGCTGGCTGACTGAACGAATGGACAAGTGGAGATGGTGTGGCTGACTCCTGGGGCAGACGGCCTGAAGGAAGAGAAGGCAAACACTAGGAGGAGATAAGGGGTCAAGGGCAGCGTGCAGAGGAAAATGCATTCCCCCCGACCCCCAGTAACCAGGTGCAGGTGCATCCTCAGGAGCTCAACTCCCAGCAGCTGTCTCTGAGAAGCTTCTCTCCCCCCGGCTGCTTTAGCCCTGGTACTGCGGAGTTCACCTTGCATTTGCCAGCTGGGAGAGGATGAGCAGGGGAAGAGCCGCTCCAGCTGTACTAGATGGCCCTTGCCCCACCTGGTGCTGCATGCTGAGCTACCAACAGGGCAGGGCCACCTATGTCTCACCCCCCTTCTGACATTCTGTTGGGCCATTATTTACATTCTCACAGTACTTATGTTGTTATGTTATTACCTGCGGCCTACAGGTAGCATCATCTGGCTGGAGGGGGGCACTCCACCCACTGACGCTCCTCAGGTGAGTTTCTCTGGGCCTGCTTGGTGACTAGCTGATCTGAGATGTTGTGATGAGTACTGGGGACTCTGAGGGTTTCGCCTCCAGGGTGACTCCCCACCAGCACCACCCTTCCTCCTGCCCACCTCAGGGCTGGACAGTGGAGGGGTCTATCCCTGTGGCCAGGGCCCAGGGAAGGGGATAGCAGGGGGAGGGGTGATGGGTGACCTTCCCCCTCCCCCTTCCCCAGGGCTGGGCCTCAACTCCTGATTAGTCCTCACCTTCCCCGCTGTTCTTGGGAATGAATATCCTACTGAAATTTTGATTTTTTTAAAAAACAAGATTGTAAATATGTTTATGGTAGAAAAATTTGGAAATACAAAAGTATGGAAAAGAGAATAAAAGTTACTCTCAATCCCATCCTCAAAGTGAGTTTAACAAAGTATTTCCTTCTAGTCTTTTTTTCTGTGATTATATACACACGTCCACACACTACATATGTCTGTACACACATTTTTTAATCATATTTAGATCCTAATGTATTTTATTATTCTTTTTCATGTGAGCATTTTTCCATTCACTAAGCACTCCTCAGTAGTGTGGTTTTCAGCAATCGTTCAGGTTCCCCACATGTATATGTTATTTATTTAGCAAATTCTTAGAGCGATCAGTACATTGTTTCCAGTTTTTTGCTATTATATATAACACTGAAGTGACCTTAGAAGTTTTTCTGGCATCTCTAATGATTTCCTTAATTCTCTAATTTTTCCCACCAAAGGCTTTCTTACATCTCATGTTGTATGCCTCAGCCTCCCCAAATTGAGCAGCTGTCAGGATGTTCTGAGAGTGACCGAAATGACAGAATGTATTTAACTTTAAATGCCTTCATTTAATTGAAAGCATGGGGAAGGAGCCTCTTCTCTCCCATCCATTAGTGTCTATTTTCCTGCCTTTTTTGGCCCCTTTTCTACCACCCACTCCAGCTCCTATCCCCTTTTCTACCACCCTGCTGGGTATCCAGTCCCGACTGCAGGCAGAAAGTCTGGAGGAGAAACTGAGAGAGAGAGAGTGAGAGCGAGAAACCACGAGAGCAGCAGAACTGGAGCTGCCAGGGCAGCCTCAGCAGACTGCAGGGGTTTAAGAACTGGGATCTCTGGGAGGTAGACATTGTTATTCCTCATGGTTCACAGGTAGGACAGCGAAGGGACAGCCAGGGCTGGACCAGATGTGGGGAGGCTGACGGCTCTCCCTTCCCTACCCACTTCTCACGCAGCTCATCTCCCTCCATAGATAGCTGAGGACACCCTGCAAACGCTGATTCCTCATTCCCCAGAGCCTTCCAGCCCCAGAAGGATCTTTCTGGACACCAACATAAAGGACAGCCACTGCCCCATGGCACCACACACCATGTACTGCCTCCCCCTGTGGCCGGGTATCAACATGGTGCTCCTGACCAAGGTGCGGGAGCCCTCACCCTGCCCCGGCAATGCTCAGGGCCTAGGCAGCTTCACCACTGGCCACCCTTTGCTCCTCCCCTCAGGTCCCCAGCACCCCCCTGGCCCTGGTCCTGTTCCAGCTGCTGGAGGGATTTTCCGTGTTGGAGAAGAAACTGAAGGAGGGGCAGGAGGCCGGGAGCTCCCTGCGGTCCCAGCCCTTTGTGGCAGACCTGCGCCAGAGGATGGACAAGTTCGTCAAGAACCGAGCGGGGCAGGAGATTCAGGTGAGGGCCACATCCCAATGCAGCTACCCTTGGAGGACAAGAGGAGTCTGTCCACCCCACGTGAGAAGCCAGTGGTTCTGGGTCCCTGTCCCTGCTCTGCCACAGATCTATGATCCTTGGTTTCCTGTTATGGAATGATAACAAAGACTTAACAGCTGCTCTTTAAGTTTTCAGAACTTCTCTATGTGAGTTAGGCAGCACACAAATTATAATTCCCATTTTTAGATGAGGAAACAGGCCACCCGCAGCAGCTGCTGCTCCTCGGCATCCAGCCCCACCCAGCTGTGCCGGCCTTGGGGGCTCCCCTTGTCCAGTCATTCTGATGGCTTCCATGCACAAGTTGTGCCCATCTCAGCAGTGAACCCCATGCTCAGACCTGGAGACTGCTCTTTAACTCAGCACCTGCCCAGTGAATCAGACATGGTGTAGGTGGTGTGCCGAGTGCTCGTGGGGCTGCTGGAGATGCCAGCTTTGTGGGGCAAGGGCAGACTTGCCTGGAGGCCTAGGGCCCTCAGCCCAACATGGGAAGGGTCTCCCTGGATCTCCCTGCGGGAATACAGTCTCCAAGCTGCCTGTCCTCCTCACAGAGTACCTGGCTGGAGTTCAAGTCCAAGGCCTTCTCCAGAAGTGAGCCGGGATCGTCCTGGGAGTAAGTGGTGGGCCCTGAGGACAAGGGGTGAGTCATTTGGAGAGGGGCTGTTTCTCAGACTGCGTTTCCCTAGGCCAAGAAGGAGAGGGTGCTCAGGAAGGAGCTTATGAGTAAAAGAGGGCCTGGGGAAGCCTGAATTCAGCCCGCCAGAGGCGGGAGGGAGGCTGGGAAGGGGAGGCCACAGTGGAGGGGCAGGGCTGTGAGGTCCCAACACTGGGCTCGAGCCACAGCTAGTGCTGACTCGGGTACCACCTTGGCAGGTCACTTCTCATTTATCAGCGAAATGATTTCAAGCAGGGAGATTTCATCCCATGTCCGTGGAGCAGCACATGGGGAGAAACTGGGGGGCTGCTTCCCGGCTCAGTGAGTGGCCTTGTGCTTGATCAGTATGGCCCACACAGGACAAGGCACCCCCCACCCCAGGTCCTGCTGTCCTGGTGCAGGAGCAGGGGTGGCCACACAGGTGAGGCGCACCCCCAGGTCCCTTCCCGCTGTGATGCTCTCACCTCTGGGTCCCCAGGCTGCTCCAGGCATGTGGGAAGGTGAAGCGGCAGCTCTGTGCCATCTACCGTCTCAGCTTCCTGACCACTGTGCCAGGCCAGGGAGGCGCACACCTGCCCCAGCACCTGCAGGACCATGTCCAGAAGCTCATGCAGTAAGTGCGTATGTCCCCCTCAATAGCCAGAGCAGGAGCATGGGGCTCGCTCCTCACAGCAGCCCCTGCTTCTCTTTCAGGGAAAAGCTCAGGGACTGGAAGGACTTTCTGTTGGTGAAAAGCCGAAGGAACATCACCATGGTGTCATATCCTGACGCCGAAGCCAGGAGAGTTTGTCGTGTGTGCGTGTACATGCGTGTGCGTGTGTCCTTCCCTGCTCACCGGAAGGACTGCAGGCTCTGGGGAGGGAGAATACGTATCCCACCACCTCATATTCTTCTCTCTGAGGAAAATAACAGGAGACAATGTCCCATGTACCTCGTCTGTGGGAACGCTGCATGCTGAAATTTCAGAAGTTTCCGCTGTCCCAAAATTCATTCATAAGGGCCTTAAAGATCCTTTGTGTCAGTGTTACTCAGCTGGCAGAATGGTAATAGGTATTCCACGAGGGTGGGCACAGGACTGCCTGTGGACTGGCTGGTGTGAGGGCCATGCCTGCCTCCTCAGATCCTGCCAGTGCACGGTGGCGTGTGAAGGCTCTGAGCAGGCCTGCCGTGAGTGTTTATCCCTGTTTAAGAGACCATTTTCAAGACGTATTTGACCCTTTTATTATGGGCCACTAGTTTTATTGAATTCTGATTTCACATGGGACTTTATATAAAGCAGCTTTTCCTGGATTAAAATGTCTGATGCATCAGGCCTCAGTCTCCTGAGACTTTGGACTTCAGTGGACAGCTTAAAGGAATGCCACAGGGCTTCTTGAGCCGGCAGCCACTGCCCTCTCAGGGGTGTCTCTTCCCACCCTTGAGGCAAAGAGTAGAGATGAGCAAGATCACGGGGAGGTGCGTGGCTTGGGCGGCCAGCCGGGCTCAGTCGTTGGTTGTGTGGCTCCACTCACGCTCCAGCCTGGTCGTGCATGTACCTCCCAAGCTGCTCCTCCCAAAAATCATCAACTGTGAGCATCCCATGTCCTTGCAGGGCCCAGAAGTGCCCATGTTAGATGTGTAAGTGTCAACAAGGATCTTAGAACTTCTCAAGGCTTGGGAGCTGAGAGTGCCAGGGAGAGAGTTCTAGGGAAGCAGGGACAGTGGGCTTGGCTGAAATGGAAGCTGGGGACAAGGACAGGAAACACCTCCCCCCACCCCCACGCCAGTTCTTGGCTTTACAACACCTTAACTCAGACTCTCACCTACCTGGAAGACTTCCCAGGCTTGGTGCACTTCATCTATGTGGACCGCACAACTGGGCAGATGGTGGCCCCTTCCCTCAGCAGCAGTGAAAAGACATCATCGGAGTTGGGCAAGGGGCCCCTGGCTGCCTTTGTCAAAACCAAGGTAACCAACCACTCCCCTGTCCCTGGCACTCTTCACTGCCCATTGGATGGGACATGCTGAGGCCTGAACATGGCCCGGGAAGAAGGAGCCCCTCCGTGCTCTGGGCTCCCGGGAGGCTCTGGTCACCCCCACCCTAACCCTCACTGCACTCTGTCAGCATCTGCATGCTCTGTAAGAACAGAGGCATGTCGTCTTGACCTGCAGGCCCGGTACCCAGGGTGAGCAGGCCTCTGGAGGTTGGGTGGCACTTCCTGGGTGTTCTCACACACCTGGGGTTAGCAACGTGCTCTGGGCAGCCAGGCAGGGGAAGACATGACCAGTGCCTGGCAAAAATAAATGCTCAACAAGTCTTTGTCAAGTTAACTAAAATGGACAGAAGAACTGCACGGGGGATTAGTTTGGGCATCAGAATTTAAAACTAGGTGTTTCCTACTAAGGAAGCATTCTCTGGGAGTTCTTTCATTCTCCTAATTTAACTGACTCTTCGTGGCAGACTCACATTTTTGGTGGGAAGGAGAGATCTCTACCACATTCTGAAAAAGCAGTATATATAGATATATGTGTATGTGTGTGTATGTTTGGTCCAAATAAAGTCTGTCCTAATGGTTCAAACAAGATGGGCAGCAAGGCTTTTGTGGGAAGTGCAGCTCTGCCTCTTTCTAGTTGTGTGGCCTTGGGCGTTACTTAGTCTGTTCCAGTTTCCTCATATGTAAAAGAGGTAACAACACTATATTTACATTGTAGAATTATTATAAAGCTTACATGAGATGATGCATGTAAAATATTTAGCACAGCATGTGGCACAAAATACAGATGCAATTCGTGGAGAATTTACTGGTATCATCAGCAACAACAACTTCATCTTCATCTCCCTTTCTGGAGATAGTGGGGTCATCTTGGGACGTTTTTTCCCATCGTGTTTCTGTGCAGTTTGTTGCGGTCGAGATCCCTCTGTATATGCAGTTGTGTTCACCACATTTGCATTCCACATTGTATCAGATGCATTTCCTCATGCCATTAATTCTTTATAAACATGATTTTGAGCAGATCCATATCAGTCCATCATGTGAATGTAACATAATTTACTTTACCATTTCCCTGATGTTTGAACAATTAAATTGTTCCAGGCTTTCGCTGTTATGAATAATTGTGCTGTATACACCTTTCGTGTGCACATCTGTGTCCTCATCTCTGATTATTTAATCCTCAGTGTGGAGTCCCAGAAATGGAGTTACTTGGTCAGCTGGGAGGAATGCTTGTAAGGTTATTGATGCATGTTGTCAAACTGCTTTCCTGAAAACTATAGCCAGTCCATGTAATTGTATGCAGATTTAATTAGCTATTACATCGCGATTGTTTTGGAGTGCAGCATGCCTCCCTTCCACTAAGGCTTTCAGTGAGAGTGCTCATCGGCCTTTTCCCAGCCCAGGAGGTGGGCAGAGCTGGCTGTCCCTGCTGCCTTCCCTCAGCTAGTTCACAAGCCTGGTGACAGTCCCTGCATTAGGCAGAAAAACATCCCTGAGGGTCCTGTGTTTGTGTCCAACCCTTTGGTGAGCCCTGGTTTGGATTTCACCCCGCAGAGGACGCGCCTGGATCAGGGTGTGCTGCACATTCAGATTCACCCTCCAGCACCTTCCTGGTATGGAGCAGGTGACCCTAGACAGAGGAGGTGTTTCCAGGTTGCCACACCTTGATCTCCTATTGTGTTAATTAACAATGTCCCTGGCTATTTTCTGACCTCAATGATCAGTTTAGTAATTTATGGCTTATGTATAAAAAAGTTATATAAAGTGTTTTTACTTGTATTTTATCCCCACTATAATTGGAAGGGTAGTTCCTCCGTAGGTCTATCCAGTAATGATCTATTACTGAGCTCCTGCTCTGAGCCAAGGTCCCGGGCACTAATGAGAGGCTCCTGGCCCTCAAAGAGCCCCTCAGCGGAGCGCTTTTCTTCCTTCCAAGTGACGGCTGCACTCTCCTCCTTTCCCAGGTCTGGTCTCTGATCCGGCGGGCACGCAGATACCTGCAGAAGGGCTACACCACGCTGCTGTTCCAGGAGGGAGACTTCTACTGCTCCTACTTCCTGTGGTTCGAGAATGACATGGTGGGCAAGGCCGGGTCTCTGGGGCAGGATGGTCCTGATCTGACTTCCTTTCTTCTGAACTGTGTTCAGTCTCTGTCTTCACCTCTTCTTGCCCTGGGTGGACGGACAGGTGAGTGCTGCGGTTGGGACCCAGCATTCAGAGGCCGCATATTCACGTGGGCATTCAGCTTTGCTCTGTGGTCCTCCACACATCCATGTGACAAGTTCGTGCCCACTGTTCCCATGGTGCTCAGGCCGCACATTCTCCAGCAGGGCCTCAGCATCATCAGCTCCACCTGCAGAGCATGGCACTGTTGTTCCCGTGGTGTAGGTGGGTGAGCCGGAGTCCAGAGCAGTTACTCAGCCTGCCCACGGTGACGCTGGCAGGATGGCTCAGGGCCCTCGCCCCTGGGCCTGGTCATCTTTCTCTAGAACTCACTGCACTGCAGTGTAGGTGCTGGCTGTGGGACCTGTCCATCTGCGGTCTCTCTCCCCCTTTCTCTCCTCCTTCCCCTCTCCTTTGCTTTCCTTCTGTTCCTCTTTTTGTTTTCTGCTCACTTGTCACCTTTGGTCATTATTCCAGCTCTCTAAGGATCGTTCCTTCTACCCCTCACAGCCCCTGTCTCTGGGTCCCCGTACTCCTGTCCCCTTCCTTGCCCTTTCTGCTCATGTAGTGCAGTGTGGTTACTGGGGCCTTCCGCCACCATTCTCTCATTCCACTCTCACAGCCCCATGCAGCAGTTGGGCAGATGGAGACACCGATGCTCAGGACAGCAGCCATCGTGGCCAGGGCCGCAGAGGTTATAAGCAGTGAAGCCAGAACCCAGGCTCAGCTCTCCTGACCTGCAGGCTCCCACCTGTCCTCTGTGCCCTCAGAAGTGCTAGCAAGTTCCTTTGCCCTCTACCTTAGTTTCTAGGGAGAGATGAGTCTGTATGCTTGGGAGGCCCCGTGGGGTAATAGGATGAAGTAGAGCTGTGGTGGGGAGACCCAGGTTTGAGTGCTGCCTGCTCCACCCAGCCTGTGCGGAACCACCCCCTCACCTGCAGGGCGGCTGCACAGGTGGGCATCAGGTGAGAGCGTCTTCAGGAGTGCCATGATCGTGCCCCACAGCGCTGAATCCCTTTCCCCACCTTCTTCTACTCTGGGAATCCCCATTTCTTCCACAGCAGATACTTGGGCCTCTTGATCATGCCTTGCTCTTCACAGCCCTGTGTGAAACCCCCACCCCTACCCACGCCGCCTCCTGGTGGGCCCCACCCCACATGTGCCCATCACTGGTCCAGCCTCTTATTGTTGGTGACAAGAGCTACTGTGAGCACCATCCCTGAAGTTCACCAGGCGGCCTCTTGATCATGCCTTGCTCTTCACAGCCCTGTGTGAAACCCCCACCCCTACCCACGCCACCTCCTGGTGGGCCCCACCCCACATGTGCCCATCACTGGTCCAGCCTCTTATTGTTGGTGACAAGAGCTACTGTGTGCACCATCCCTGAAGTTCACCAGGTGTCCAGCCTCTTATTGTTGGTGACAAGAGCTACTGTGAGCACCATCCCTGAAGTTCACCAGGCGCCCGCTGTTGTTCCCCCACACAGATGAGAAAGCACCGAGCACACAGCAGCAGGGCCACGCCAGGATGCAAACCCAGACTCCAGACCACCTTCTTCCCCACACCTGTGGCCTCCCCATCCTTAAGACCCTTTTCTTCCTTCCTCAGGGCTACAAACTCCAGATCATCGAGGTGCCCATCCTCTCCGATGACTCGGTCCCCATCGGCGTGCTGGGAGGAGACTACTACAGGTGCCGCCGCCTCAGGGCTGCTGGGAACAGTCGGGGCACCACGTGTGGGCAGCGGGTACCAGCTCCCCACAGGGGGAAGCTCCTCCTCCAGGGGTGCCCCACCCCAGGAAGTGAGGATGCCGCCCTGGGAGCTCTTCTCAGGCTGCCCAGCGCCCAGTGGGGGAGGAAGCCCGTGGAAAGCGCAGTTGAGCTCCTGCCCATCTTCCCTGTTGGTGCCAACTCAGCAACATGGGGAGACGTCTGTGCTGGGCCCAGAGCTCCAGCTGGCTCCTAGCCTGGACACCACCCTTGTCAGTGAGGATTGAGGGCCCAGAGGAATGTGCCGGGGTCTGGGGCTAAGCCCAGGCAGCTTAGGTCAGTGAGGAGCAGGAGGAGGTGCCACGGCCCCGGTGCTGGAACCTAGCGAGATGCCCACAGGGTGGGCATCTAAGTGCCTGCCCAGGGCTGGAGAGGCCCCGGCACTGGGAGGAGGGCCGTAGCCTCATGCCTAAGTCCTGTCCCTTTCCTCCCCCAGGAAGCTCCTCCGCTACTACAGCAAGAGCCACCCGGCTGAGGCCATCAAGTGCTACGAGCTGCTGGCCCTGCACCTGTCAGTCATCCCCATGGAGCTGCTGGTGCAGCAGGCCGGCCAGCTGGCCCGGCGCCTGTGGGAGGCCTCCCATGTCCCCCTGCTCTAGGCCCCTGCTCTAGGTGGCCCTCGCAGTCTGCCTATGCACCCTGTTCTGCAGCCTGTGCTAGAAATGTTCCCCACACAAGAGCCACCTCCTGGCTATAGCAGCCATCCTGAGGGTGGGGCAGGGTCCTGGGGTAACCCCAGGGTTTCTTAAACTCCACCCAGACCACCCTCTATGCAGGGTGATGACCAAACCCCAGATCCTTCCCCTGGAGGAAGAGGGAGGCCCAGGAGTTTCCGTTTGCCACCTTAGACATCCGCTGCTTTGAGGCTGGAGATGGCAGCACCTCTCCGTTTCTCCCCACGAGACAGGGAGGAAGTCCCCAGTGCCTAAGGCTGTCTGAAGACACTGACTCCCCCTTTTCTGCTGTTCTCTGCTATTTCCTACCCCAGAGCTGGGTTTGAATTCCAGCTCTGCCACTTCCTCTCTGCAGCTCTGGGCAAGTTTCTTAAACTCTAAACCTATTTCCCTGCATTCAAAGTGACAACACCTATGTCAGGGTGGTTCTGAGGATTACAGAACACTGGCAGGTGCTCAATAAACGTTGGTTATTGTTGTCATGTGAGCCCAACATGCCTGTGCCTCTGGACCCTTTTGTTGGTGTGATAAGCCCTTGCTAAGTCCTAGCCCCTTCACGCCCCCTTGCTTCTGCCCTGGAGCTGTGGGGTTTGAGCTCCTGGCCCTGGGCCAGAGATTTGGATTCACTTGGTCCATGTGGAGCCCAGGATTTGATGTTTTTAAAAGCTTCCCAAGCAATCTGGCGTGCCCAGGATTGAGAACCACTGTTCAAGGGGTACAGCCCTTCTAACCACGAAGTTCCAACCCTAGAGTGAACACAAGGACAAGAGACGATCAGAGCACTGGGGCTGGGAAGCATCTGATGCTCTTGGGCCAAGAGGCCGGCGCAGGGCTGGAGAGCAGTGACGTGGCAGAAATAAGCATCCACCACAGCGGAAGGAGGGACGCCTTCGTGATGGCATAAAGGAGCCAGGCCCTCTATGTCTACGGCCTTGAGCTGAAATCTGTGCAGGAAGGACTGGCCTTTCTCTGCAGAGAACAGCGTGGAGAGGACAGGTGCTGAGGGAGCCAGAACCACACTGGCGCTGAAGTCCTCAGAGGGTGACAGTGGGGACCAGTGTCCTCTGAGATGACTGGATCCATGTTCCTCCTTACTGTCGTGACTTTGTGGATGGAAATCAAAGAGAGGAACGTTGGTTGTGGAAAATACAGAAGAGCACAAAGGAAAATAAGCTCACTATTTAGGACACCCACTTATGTCACCTAATATTTTTCCTTAATTTTTAGTGGCTGAAAGATGTGATGCGTCTAGTTTAACCAACCCCCCTGATTTTTCTATATTACAAATAACACCGGTGTGAACATTCTGAGTCAGACTTTAACAGATCTGCACACGGTATAACCCTTCCGCAGTGCGTGGAGGGGTGCCTGAGGAGAGGAGGAGGGGTCCTCAGCAAGCCCTTTAACTCAGAATCACCCTTACCTCATGTTCTCCCACTTTTAAGATTTATTTCTAATGGGTTCCATAACACTGACACGTCACAGCAGCACAAACACTGCACTGCGAGGGTGCTTTTTTTCCTACAAGGGGAACGGGCTGCTGAGTGATGAACAGAAAACAAAGGGGCTCCTAATTCAAGAGAGGATGAAAGGTGGTAAGAAAGCATTTCAGCTGGAGACACATAGAGATGTGATCTTTAATCCTTGAGGATTCTTGGAAAATGGGAAAGGTGCCAAAAGAAATGTCCAGGACTTCAAAAGAAGGTGGCAAGCCCCGAGAATTACAGACACTGAACTTGCTCCTAAGGCCTTGTGAGAGTCTGCAGCAGCCTATGTTGGCAGCAGTTAAGCAGTTAGGAGAAGACACAGGGCTCCCCAGCAACACGTGTGGCCTCTGCAAGTTTGCTGAAGGTCCTGAACGTGGTGATGCCAAATGGTTGCTCTGGTGGCTTCTGTGATACAGAGTTGTCACCACCTTGGACTATGTCAGGCTCGCCACCCTACCCAGCTCGGCTGACCTGAGTGTGTCTTCTGCCTGTCAGGATTCCCATCCCAGACAGGTCATTCCTCACTGAGAAGGTCCTTTGAGAGGAAGGGGACCTTTGGAAGCCTGTTGGGGCTCCACCACTCACTCCAGGTCCTTGGCACACAGGAGCCTTCAGGCATTATCTCCTGAGTCCTGGAGGCGGCACCAACTTCTTGGTGACAGCCAACCCGTGACTGCCTGGTGCAGACTCAGCAGCGAGGAGCAGCGTGTTGTCCTGTGTAGTCCTGGCCCAGGGCCAAGAAGGAGCAGCTAGGCTGCAGCTCCGCCTCTCTTCCTGCCTTCTCCCTGCTCCTCCTCCTGCCGGGGTGGCGCAGGAAGCTGATTACTGGCCTAGTACTGCCCAGCCTGGGGCAGAAATGGCTGCAAGTGGCCGAGATCTCAGCAGAGCTGTGGGTGCCTCTCTCTGCCCTGTCTGGAGACAAGCTCAGTCAGAAGCCAGGGGACGCCTGAAGCCTGAGTACGATGCGGTGGTCATAGGAGCAGGTAAAGCAGGCTGAGCCAGATCTGAGTGGCAGGGAAGGCAGCCCCTGCTCGGAGGCCTGGTAGAGGCCCCTTCGCCAAGCCCCACCGTGCCCTGTACTCTGGGCACAACCTAGCTAGGAGTTTGTACAAGAGCAGGGGCTGTGATGGAAAGCCCTCAGGTCTGGAAGTCGGGCATCCGGGGTTCTGGTGCTGGCTGTGCCTTTGACTTGCCGTGTGGTCTGGGGCAAATTCTGGCCCTCTCTGGACTTGGGTCTAGAATGATAAGGGAGCACTAGGTAAACTCAGGGGTTTCCCTGTGTCTCCTACATAATCTGCTAGTTCCTGCCACACTCTGTGAAAGTATTTGATATATAAGGGTTGGAAAGAGCCTTGGGAAAACAGGCAAGTGAAATCTAGCCACCCCAAATGCCCTGAGCTCTGGTCACCACCACCTCACCACTGAGGCTACGCATCCCCAAAGGAAACCACAATCATTTTAGAGGGAAGGAAGGAAAAAATAGAACTGAGTCCTAGACCACTGTATTAGTCACCCTGAGACTGGGTGATTTATAAAGAAAAACGAAATTTATTGATTACTGTTTGAGTCTAGGAAGTCCAAAGTCCATCTGGTGGTGGCAACAGTGACCTAGGGGTCTCACATTGAAAGATGGTGGAAGCAGAGAGAGCAGAGAGAGAATCTCTCCTCTTCTTTTAAAGCACTTAGAACCAGGCCCCTGACCACCGTTTTTAATTCATTCACTACTACACGGTCCTACAATCCAATCACCTCTTTAAGGCTCCATCTTTCAATTACCGTAATAGGATTTCCCACCCTCTTAACAGTCACAATGAGTAGAGGCTAAGATTTACTACATAAACTTGGGAGACACAATTCAAGCTTCAGTGAGTTTTGGGGAGACAATTCAGTCCACTACAACCACCTACTGTGTGTCTGTAGATCGTGAGGGTTCCCCATTGCCTTGCTCCTCTGGGACATTTGGGGATCTGCAGTGAGCCTGTGGCTCTTTGCTGAGCCCTAGGCTCAGAGTAGCAAAGTTGGCTGGATGACTGGCTGAGGCCATGGGCCCAAGACCAGGACCAGGTTGCCTTCCCTGGGGGCCTTCCATTCACATTCGCAAAAGGCCCTAAATGCAGTATTTCCAACTGGGTTTATGCAGAGACAAGGACAGGACTCAAAGAAGGTGACGCTTAACATACACTGTTGAAGTTGTAGCCTTGTCTTGGCATTTCTTCATTTCTGTGTGTACTAAGAACAGTTGTGAGCTGGTGAATGTTTAACAGTCACCTCTCCAGGGAAGCGAGAGAGAGTGTGTGTGTACACAAGAGTACTTCACAAAGTTCATGGAAAAATAGAATTGAAAGATAATACAAATCTTTTCACAAACTTTTTGACGTACCCTTGTGTATTATATATACACACTTTTTTTTATAAATACTGGAATAAAAGGTGTGGTACACAGTCTTACTAACAAAATATATAATATAAATTCATAGAGTCAATATAAATTCGTAAATTCTATGAATATAAATTCATAGAGCCATTGATTCTTTCTTTGATTTTTGCCAAACTTAGTAGCCGCCCTGTTGTTACAATTGACGAGTGTAGTTTGAGTGGAATGTCGCTTCATATTTCCATTTACTTTAAAGAGGAGGATGGAAAGTGAAACAAACGAGACGATGAAGACTCACGTCCCAGCTGCACTCCTCCTTTAATCATGGGAATGTCTTTGCTCAATCAGATAATATTTTTCTAATACTGCCAGAAAATTTCCTGCATTTTTTGTGTTATTTATTCATGATGTAACAGCTGTAGGCATAAAGCCCTGTTAAGTTTAATCTCCATTATTAGCATTTTTCCAGCACATTCTTAAGACTAACAATCAACAGAACAACCAATCAGGCCCTGATGTGTAATGCATGCTGATTTCTGTGGTGTGAATGCTCCCACCATGGCCTTTCTCGTTACCACCATGAGGTGGCTGAATGTGATTTGGGAGGGACACATAGTAGCGTATCACTGCACAGTGGGGCCACCTGCCCATAGAGGCCGGTGACCGCAAGAGCATAGATAATAGGCAAGTGTAGTAAAATAATCAGGAAATGATGAGTTCTGCGTATTTATTACCTTAATTTTTAATATAATTTATTTCATAGTAAGTTTACGTAATTTAATTTTTAACAATGACTGCATTTGACAATTGGCTCACAAACTTCCGGGGTTGGTGGGAGCCAGCTCCAACACCCATGGACTGGGTTCAGGAGACAGAAGCACCCCAAGCCTCTCAGCCCCCTCTTCCTTCAACCCTTGGCCACAGCCCACTCCTGCTGTCCCCTGATGGGAAGGTTGCCTTGACAATTGGCTCACAAACTTCCGGGGTTGGTGGGAGCCAGCTCCAACACCCATGGACTGGGCTCAGGAGACAGAAGCACCCCAAGCCTCTCAGCCCCCTCTTCCTTCAACCCTTGGCCACAGCCCACTCCTGCTGTCCCCTGATGGGAAGGTTGCCCGGGGCACCAGCTGCTTTGGTGAATTGCCCACAAGTGTGAGCGGGTCTCAGTGTGTGAGCTGAGCCTGGACATTGCTAAACGTACGTAAAGCCAGGTTTAAAGGCATTTCAGGCCTGAGTGAGGAACACAGTGGCATTCTTTGAGATCAGAATTCTCTCCCACCCAGTGCCTGAAGTCACACACGTAGATTTAGTCATTTGACTAAGTGTGCCTAAGAATGACCTGAGGAGCTTGTTAAAGTGCAGATCCTGGGCCTTAAACCTGGTGATCAGGATCCTGAGGATAGGAGGAAACCTTGGCAGGCAGCGCATGTAAGCAGCCAGCACTGAGAGCAACTGACCCGGGGGCTGCGGAGCACTACCCCACTCAGAGCCCAGCGCTGCCACCTGAGGGCCCTGCAGCAGGCCTGGGCTTAGCCTGCCCTGCAGCTCAAGACCCCTTTGAGGGGACAGGGAAGGTCACTGGAAACCTCAAGAGGGCTCAGCCAGGACTTGGGGTGGGGGTCCTGGCTGATGGGTCCTCTTCCTTAGTCATTTGTCTGTGTATCATGGACTTACATGCCATGATTGAACTGGACCCACTTGCCTGGAAGACTTTATTAGTTTTCCAAGACTGATGATCAGCACTAATTAAAAGACAAATGGCTACTATTTATCACAGGCCTGCTAGGGGTCAGGTGCTTTACATATATTATGTTTTACAGATATTATTATTATTTACATATATTATATTATTACATATATTATGGGTCGTCCTCCCTGCAACACTGCAAGGTCAGCCAGGAAACAGGAAACAGGCTCCTCTCAGTTTTACGCCAAAGAGGCTCGAGGCTCGGGGCGCTTAAATGATTCCCTGACGCCATGCCTGGTAAACAGTAGAAGCCGGGTTGAGTCCAGCACTTTCTGCCTTTAATTTGTATGTATTTGAGAGGACAGCTTTTCATGTGGGATCCGAACCCTCGGCGGGAGCTCCGCTGCGCTTCCCAAGCGGTGCACTGTAGCAGTGCGCCACCGGGCCGGCCCCAACCAACGTATTTTTAAAGGATCTTATGAAAATTTTCAAAAGTCCATAGAACGAGATAGCATGTCAGCCAACACTTTTTAAAGTAAAGTATTACCTAAGAGATTCTCACATGCTTATCACATGTTAAGAGTGAATACAAGTAAATGTAATGTTTGTTTCTGTGAAATACATTTATAAATGTGGTGTGTGCCAGGCCATGGTGTAAAATGCATTTCTTCCAGTGGATCGTGATCAAAAGGGTTTGAAAAACTCTCGGCTTTAGAGATTCCTTTCACGGTTGAGAAGTTGGCTCAGTGACCTCTAAAGTTCTGGGAGTCTCCATGTCGGAAATTTAAAACAAAATTAATTCAGCCTTGAAGATATTCATCATGTGGGTCATCGCTTCTCCCTATTGGTGGCTATTTATCAGATTAACAGTTGGGCACTTTATTTGAGTCAACACTGGGTTCAGGTCAGTGCTCCGAGAACAAAGGCATCTACTGTCATCTTTAAAGACTCAGATTGACCGACTATCACCAAGGACAAAAACAAGCTAGGTGTTCAAGACAAGGCCTGACCCCACTCTCTGAAAACCACCAGGGCCTGTTCTCTGCCCATGAGTGATTGTCCCATCAGCAGTTGCATTTTCTCCTGAGAGGAAGGGAAGGAAGAGGCGGGCTCGGCCCAGGGCCTGTGGGCTCAGTGTGTGCTCCTGAGACCACCTACATCAGAATTTCCTGGGCGCATGAGAAGCCGGGCTCCACGACCTGCCTTCAACCTGACAAATAGCTGCTCTGGGGATGGGGTCTGGGAATCAAAGTTTACCCGACTTCCCTGGTGATGCCCACCACAGCTGGAGAGGCACCCGCTACCCAGGAGGTTGGTGTGGAACATGGGATCCCAAAGCCAAATTCAGGACTCCCAGCCCAGGCAGCCCTCCTGAGATTTTTAGAAAAAACTTTATATGTAAGTTAATAAATTTGCCCCATCAGCCAGCACCCCTGACACACATCTACTTACTCTAGCACACATTGAATCTGTGTGTGTTTACTTCATTTTGAACTGTTGATATTTTATTTTTGCAACACTGGGGATTGACAAAGCAAACCCATGTGAATAATGCCTCCTTGGCCTTATTGTGCCCATTGTGAGCCACACCTGGGCAAAACAAGCCATGCTTGACAGCAGCAGATCACATGACAGCACACCCCTGGATGGCATATCATTCCATGCCACACTGTGACGTGGCGCACCAGCGTGCTGGCCACCCTCTCTTCCCTTCCCTGCTAGGTAAATGGTGATGCTCCCACAGACACAGTCACCTGCTCCTCCCCCAGCGATGGATGCCCCGGCGATGCTTTCTTCGGATGATCGTGGAGTTCTCCTTGCCCCTCACTCCAGCATGGAGCCACTGACCAAGCCAGGGAGACAGGACTTCTTTCCAGCCTGGGCGAGAGCCAGGGTTTTCTTACTCCCCACAGACTAGTGTTTCATGGCGTTGAGCTAGATGCTGTTCCAACATCCAAGTGCAGGTGGTGGTGGGTGGTGGTGTCACCAATGATCTTCATGGGCATGGGGACAGGGATGGGTGCCACACTCCTCAGGAAAAGTGTCTTCCCACTGACCAGTGATGCTTTTCCCCCTCCCCCCGTCTCGTTGCAGGACACAACGGGCTGGTGGCAGTGAGTATCTCCCCCTGGGCCCGTGGTCGTGTGGCTCTCAGCCCCCGTAGGAGGAACATGAGGAAGCAGACAGGATCAGAGTGACAGGAAAGAAGGAAAAGGCAGCCTAGTCCACGCTCCCCGGTGCTGACCGGGGCCTGGGTCGAGCGTGCACCTGCAGCCAGTTCAGGAGGTTATCTCGGTCGCCTTTCCTCTCCTTTCCTCAATGAGTGTGGTTTACCCCATGAGCTGTGGGAGAGTCGGGGAGCTTTTGGAAGCAAGCTGATGAAAACGTAGGGAAGCATGTCACTGCATAGCCGGGGAGCAGGTTGAAGACTAGGGATTAGTAACGGGGGCTGGCTGGGGCCCTAGACTCCAGGCTATGGGCAGTCTTGTGTAGAGAGCCCTGTGCTCCCCAGCTAGGCCCAGGCCATGACCACCCTGGAGGACAAAGCCAAGATGTCCAAAATATGCCCTGAGACAGCAAGGACCCCAGCCTAGTAGAGGGGCCAGGGCCCCTATTCAGCACGGCCACCTTACAGATCCCAAGCTGAGCCAGACCAGAGTGACCCTCAGGCTATGCTTCTCAAACCTGGGTCCATGTACCTCTAGGAGGCCAGAGAGGGTATTCAAGGCCACAAGACGAACAACATCTTCTAGAAGCAGTAGCGGCTCTAGAAGATCAATATGGGAGAAAACCAATGTGGGGGTGCTAAGGGACTTATGTCAAACCTTAATACTTTACCTAACCTATCAATTTTACTTGAACATTTTACAGGGGTCTTTTGTAATTCAACTGATCAGTAGTTTAAAACTTTGATTTTATATTAATGTAAACACAGTTCATCCCCCAGCTCTGCCACTTTCTGGCTGGGCACCCACAAGTTCAGCCTCACTGTGCTGCCCCCTGCTGTGCGTGTCGGAGGAATGAGGCCACTCCCTGCCTGTAAGAGAGACACATCCGGGCAGGGTGGGCAGGGTACGGCATGAGGTCCCCAAGCAGGCCTGTCAGATCTTGGAAGATATCTGGGTAAACAAAGAGAACAGCATTCCCAGAGTTGGGAACAGCATGAGCCAAGGGGTGGCACATGGGCCCGTAAGTGAGGACCCTAAGACTGCAGGTCAGCCCCAAGGTATCCAGGACATTCCAGAGGGATAAAGGGAAGGTCCTGTGTCAACCAGCCCACCCCACCCCCCGCCAGGCAGCATACCTGCAGAGACTGGGCATGAACACAGTGGTCTTCGAGAGGCGCCATGTGATCGGGGGTGCAGCTGTCACTGAGGAGATTGTCCCAGGTGAGCCCCGATGTGGTGTGGGGAACCAGGGGGTGACCGCTGTTGACTGTCTTCATTTGATTTGGTTTCAGGGTTTAAATTCTCCCGAGCATCCTACCTTCTCAGCCTGCTGAGGCCACAGATTTACACCGACCTGGAGCTAAAGGTGAAGCAGCCCCCCATGGCCTGGAGGTGGGGGGTGGCAGTTCCGTCTTCCCAGCCCGGGTGAAGGCGCCCTACTATGTGCCCGGGTGATTCCCCACGCCAAGCGTTCTCTCCTCCCAGTGCTTGTCCCGTCCACATGGTTTCCCTGATGCAGTCCCACAGATGGGCTTTGTCTAGCCCACAGTGTCTTAAAAATTGGGAAATTTCACATAAAAGTCAGACCTCTTTTGAAGAATGAGCTTTGCCAACATCCAGCTCATGTAGGATACCTGCCTGAAGCCTTGGGCACCTGAGTTTGCAAAGCTGCCATAGGACACGAGCCCTGCCTCTGCCCTTATTAAACATCAGCGCCTGCTACCATTCTTGGCAGCTTGAGCAGGAAGTTGGACCCAGGAAGTTCACCTCTTCCGGCTGCCAGGCTGTTTTGTGGGAGTCCTGAGAGCTGTCCGCTGCCCTTGGCTCACTTTCCTTGGTCCGCTAACTCTGTGCACAGGCGCCCAGCTCCACACCCGGCCTCCCACACCGCCTCGCCCTGACGCTCTATCATCAACTCCAGCACCACACTCCTGAAGCAGGCCTAGCTTGTACCTGCTGGGGGACTCTGTCACCCCACCACTCAGAGAAAGGTTCTCAGTGCCATCTGTACTAGCAGCTGCCACACTCTTTAGCACCAACTTTGGTCTAAATTCAAAGTTTGAAATTAATAGGGTGTTCAGCCGCTGTTCCACTGTTCACAGCTCTTTGGCTGCTCTAATCGGTTTATGTAGAGGAGTTCTGTGAACCAGGTAACTGCAGGAACCCACTAAAGAAATGACTCCTTGCATCAGAGAGAGAGAGAGAGAGAGCGCCCCCAGCCCGGCCACCTGCGGTGCCGTGTCCACTCAGGCTCGGCCCTCCCCTGACCTGTGACACTTGACTTTCGCAGCACTGCCCCTTCCCCTCCTTGAGCCAGAGGACACCCCAGCCCCTGTGGGGCCTCACTGGGCCCACCTCCCCCTTCACAGCTGTCATCACGAGCCCTGGATTGGGTCACTCCCCAGTGCCATCCACCTGTATGATGAGTTTGCTTTCACAGCGGCCCCACACAAAGTGGCGGAACCCCAGCCAAGAGGGCAGAGCTTTCACAGTGGCAGGACCTCTTCATCCCCCACCAGCCAGCAGCCGCCTCCTCCACCTGCCCCTGGGCCAGCCTGACCTCATTGCCAGAGGCAGCCCCCGGCCACCTCCCCTTCCAGCCCTCAGCCTTATGCATTTTGCTCAGGCTTTACTCCCGGGAATCTAAGGCGGGTCCATGAGAATGACCTGGGAAAGTGGTGGGGAAGTAGCAATTTCTGAGGGTTCCGGCACAGAGTGTGACTGTTGGAATGGCGAGGCCCAGGAACCGTCATTTCTACAGCATTCTGGGTCATTCTGAACCAGGGGCCCCAGAGCCCAGCTCCAAGAACCACACCCCTTAATTGTTCCTCAGACACGTCTTGTCCCCTCCCAACAGTTTCTACCCCAGATGGCTGTGCATGCTGAGAAATCTCATGGGTACATCAGAGGAAGGGGTTCTGTGGTTTTGTTTTTTTTTAAAGAGAGAACCGCATGGTCTAAACAAAATCATGGATATAATATGATGGTTATTTAACATTCCCTTCTTTTTCTGAGTCCACATAATTAAAACCATCAAGAATGACAAAGTCTCCACTTAGAAAGTCCTGGAATCAAATGAAAAATTATTCATGCTCAATTAGTTATACTTGAAATAACCCTTGGGTTCCTCTCAGGTCACTTATTTGGGGAGTTTAATGATTCACTCACTCGGTAAGTGTTTCTGAGCACCTGCTCCGTGCCAGGCACTGGGAGAAGCTCTTGTAGATACAGCGGTGAACGAGGGAGGCGAGAACCCTGCTCTTAGTAAGAGACCTTCAGTAGAGGTAGTGCCAGGAAGAAAAGAAAAGGAGGCAGTACGATAGAGAGAGACTGGAGGTTCCAGCCTAGACGGTGACCAGGAAATCCTCCTTGAGGAGGTGACATGTGAGCTGGCATTCAAATGCCAGGAAGTCCCCAGCCATGTGGACATCTGAGCAGAGACAATCCAGCCAGAGGCAGGTGGAGGTGGACAGGCGAGGCGGGCGTGAGCAGGCGAGTGAGGGGCAGAGGCGCAGCAGGTGGGGAGTGAGAGACAGGGCCAGCTCCGGCAGCCCCTGCAGGTCACGGCGCAGGGACGCACTTCCTCCCAAGGGCAGCGGAAGCCAGTAGAGGCGTTAAACAGGAAGTGGAGCGAAAGGATTCATGGCTTTCCTTAAGATCGGTCCCCTGATGGATGGCGCAGATCACAGTGGTAGGAGGAGGGCCCGCAGGTGGACCTGGGAGGCAGCTCTGCAGTAGTCACAGGATGGTGGCTCGGGCTGGGGGCAGCAGATGTGGAGAGAAGTGTACAGCACCTGAGACAGAGCTGACTGATGAGAAGCGGCAGTGGATGGGATGTCAGGGCGAGGGAAAGAGCAACTAAGTGTGCCTCTGGGAGGAGCCAAGCTGGAAGTTCCTTCAACTTAGAGTCAAAGAAATTCTCCTCTTAGTGTTAGAAAGGACCCTGGAGGTCTCGCAGCCCAAGCCCCTTCCAGTGTTTGGAATCACCCCTGCAGCATGCTCGATGCTGGTGCCATCCTGCCCATCTGGAATGTCGCTGTTTGGGGCAACTCCAGCTGTGATTGTTGGAAGGGTACTTTTTTTGTGGTTTTCTCGTGCTTTCCTAAAACTTCTACTCACAGATCTCGTTTCTGTCCTCTGGGGACGTGACTTGTCTGCAATGTGGCATTCATTTACTCAGTCAACAGAATACTTATTAATTGTGCTGTATCTACATGCAGGGGGGACGGCAGTCAGCAAAGTGGACAATGCCCCTGACCTCACAGAGCTTACGTTCCATGTGGGGGAGATGAGGAAAAAACTAAATATGTAATTGGCCATAGGCTGACAAGTGCTATGGAGAAGAATAATTTAGGGTGAGGGGGCAGAGAGCTCTGGGGTGGACAGGGGAGGCCTGGCTGAGAAGGAGACACTGGAGCAGAGACCTCAAAGAAGTGATGGAGCAGGCCACGGCTCTGAAGAAAGAAGTCTCTAGACAGCGAGGACAGTAAGTCTTATCTGTGGAGGTAGCACAGGCCCCTTTTGTTTTATCTGTGCCTACTTTAAAGAAGTAGATGTGCTCTTGGAAATTTCTGTGTGCTAATCAAATATTTGTAATTCACATAATATTTTAAATGCAGCCAGGGAACTTCCATTTAACGTGACCCTGGAGTAAATGAGTCTGCAAAGTAAATACAATTTTTTGATGTGAATAATTTATCTACCTTGTAAGTATGGATTTTCACATAACCATTAGTTTATTGTGTCTTTTCTAAAGTTTAATTATTTATTTCTGAGGTGAGGCAGTTACAGACTAGTGCTGAGAGCCAGGGTTTGGAGTCACAGAGATGTGGTTTTGAAACCCAGATCCACCTCCTAAAGTGACCTGGGACAAGTTATTTAACTCTGTTGATTGCATTTGCACAATGAAGATCATAATATGTACAAGTTGTTATGAGGTAATGATTGTAAACCCTAATACAGTCGCTGGCATAGAGTAAGCATGATATGGTGCAGTGTGGTGTATTATGGCATGGCATGGCGTGGTGTGGTGTGGTATAGTAAGGTACGGTACGGTGTGATGTGGTATGGTGTGTTGTGGTGTGACATGGTGTGTGGTGTGTTATGGTATAATGTGGTATGGTGTTGTGTGGTATGGAATGGTGTCTGATGTGGTATGGTGTGATGTGGTGTGTGGTGTGTTATGGTGTGGTGTGTGGTGTGTTGTTATGGTGTGTTGTGGTGTAGTATGGTGTGTGGTGTGTTATGGTGTAGTGTGGTGTGATATGTTATGGTGTAATGTGGTGTGGTATGGTGTGTTATGGTGTAGTGTGGTGTGGTGTGTTGTTATGGTGTGGTGTGGTGTAGTATGGTGTGGTGTGTTGTGTAGTGTGGTGTGGTGTGGTATGGTGTGGTACAGAGTGGTCTACCACAGGGTGCATGGGTAAGAGGGCTTTTTGAAAATTTACTTTAAAAAAAATCAAAAAACAGGAGCAGGACCACATGCCTTGGGACCCTGCATGCAGGTACTTACATGGTCCTACAGACACAACTGGACAAAGGTCAAGGGAAGAGACCACGGATCCTTTAACATGTTGCCTGTGCTGTTTGTATCTTCAGAAACATGGGCTGAGGCTTTATCTTCGAAACCCCCACTCCTTCACCCCCATACTGGAAGAGCGCGCAGGGGGCAAGGTGCCCAGGTCCCTTCTGCTGGGCACAGACATGGTGGAAAACCAGAAGCAGATCGCCCAGTTCTCACAGAAGGATGCCCAGGTAGGGAGAGCGGCCAGTGACTTCCCTCCCCAACCTGTAGGTGGCTCTAGGAGAGAAACGGGCCTGGCTGGGATTGTCCTCAGACACATCGTCTGAAGGCCACGGGGCCTTGGACAGGCCACCCAACCTTCCTAGGAGGGCTCCAGTTTGTGTGAACCTTGGTCTCAGGCACTGTGAAGAGAAGGGGCTGGCAGATGGTGGTTAGGACAGTGGACACTGGAGGCTCTCAAGCCTGTGTGTGCCCAGGAGGAGGCCACTGTTCCGATGGCCTCCGCATGCGGGATTCCAAAGAGACCCATCGGTGTGTACACATACTGCATGTCCCCCATGCCGCTTGCAGGCAGGATTCCGAGTGGTTATCCAATTAAAGCTTATGAAAGCCACATAGGAGGATGGTGGGAAGATCAGAGACAATCAAGGTTAGAACGAGCTGGATCAGGAACTTAGGACAGGAGAGTTGTAGTAAATACTCCTACAATTTGGCAGAAATCCCCCAGCAGCCCAAGACAAGAGAGAGTCCATGAAGGTGTGCAGGTCTGGTGAAAGCAAGAGCACACACTGGATGGAGAATCACGTTTTTCTTGGGATTGTATCCTAAGAATTTGTTGGGTGGCTTTGTCTAGACGAGTCACCGAACGATATAATGGGCCTGATGCAGTTGGTTCTGCAGATACAGAAAGATTCTTTTTGGCCATTTTTGTACCAAGCATGGATACAAGCTGGTGATGTAGCATTAAATCTTATCTTGGTGGAGAAATTTTTATAAGAATCTAGGTTAACATGATCTGTGCGTGTTGCTTTTTGTTGCATTAATCTTTTTTTCTTTCTTTTTTTGGTTCTTGAACACCTCTGGGTTTGGGGTGATTGATTGATTGATTGATCTATTTATCTATCTATCTCTCTATCTATCTATTTATTTCTTCATGTTAATCTAACGTTGGGAAAAACCTAGAGAACCACAGACACATGGCATACTCATCTCAACAACCAACAGTTTCCAAACCTGGCTGAGGATCAGAACCACCTGGGGAGTTTAGCCTTTTGAAAGTGCTTCTTGAATGACTCTTGTGCAGTGGGCTGGCGACCACTGCCTGTACCCTCTCCTCCAAACCCCACCTGTCACAAATGCAGTAGAAAAGATTCAGCACAAGGCCGGGCCCTGGGCCTACAGGACGCCGGCTGTGGCCCTGCTCGCTAGTGACCACACAAGCAGGAGGCAAGAGCCCATTTGCCATTGCAGAAAGACAGGAGGCCAATTTCTGGTTTTGTCTTTGCATGGTGTCCTATTAAAGGCCTGTTCTGGAAAAAGCTGTTCAACTTCATTTTTACCAAGACTTCTCAAATGTGCTTCAATATATACTTTTCTTTATGCAACACTTAGGAAAATTCGATGGATACATCCATGGATATAGATGAACTAAAATATACAGCTCTTGCTGAGAACCAAGAGAGGCCTCCAGGGGCACAGGCGTCCCTCGCTGCCCCTGCTGCCCATCCAGAGAAGGGAGGGAGGGTGTCGGGAGCCAAGCTGTTACAAGTACATTCTGTTGTGAGGCTGGTGGGGTGAGAGCACGTAGGCTTGTGTTACTGCATGTGAGGGGACAACATATGAGACTCACAGACCTGGAAAGAGCAGGCAGCACTCTGGAAAGCAGGGGGTGAGCTCTAACTTCTACCAGCAATGTAGGAAAGTACAGAAGAAAGAAAGAGGAAACTTCTAAGTGACCTGTGGTTTATCATAGAGGCCACACCCTAGGGTACTTGCCAGTTTTCTGTGGCTGACTGGTGTTGGCCAGCATTGACCCCTTGTCCCTGTCACTGCCCTGGGTGGCTTTCCTATTGCCCACGTCTCACTGACCTCCCTGAGGTGCTCGTCCTGACGTTAATGTTAACACAGAGATCAGAACTGGGAGGAACTCAGCCGAGCTGAGCCGAGCCGAGCCATGCTGGGGAGGAGGCCTGAGGAGCCATCAAGTCTTGGCTGAGGGGTGCAATGGGCTACATGGGCCCGCAAGGGGGACAGAGCGTGGGGACTTTGTCTCTGAGGGACTCTGAATGGGGGGATCTTGACATAGAGCTCTGTTTCAGGCTTTTCCCAGATATGAGAAGTTCATGAGCCGCCTGGTGTTAGCCATTGAACCTCTGCTGGATGCAGCCCCAGTGGACGTGGTGGCCTTCCGGCGTGGCTCCCTGCTGCAAAGGCTCAAGGCACTGTCCACCCTCAGACCCCTGCTGAAGGCAGGTAGGTCCAAAGTGCAGGCATTGAAGCATGATGAGTGACCTGCACGAAGGCGAGCCCACTCCTTCAATGCCCTGATGTAAGCCTGAACCTCTAAAGCAGACTGCCGACCATGACCAATTAATAGGCTATTATTGTGATCAATTAAGTGCTGCCTGGAGCACTTTGTTGAGAAGGTCTTAGCCTAGCATGCCCTAAAATAGAGTCTGAGACAAAGGCTTATGTGCAAGTAGTTTATTTTGAAGGATGATCCCAGGGCACAAAAATAGGGGAAAGGAGGAGTGAAACTGAACAGAGTCATCACCAGGGTGTGTTACTTTACTGGCCACCACTGTGGGTGACAAGCGGCTGGGCCCTATGCAGACGCTCTGAGAAGCCCTGTGAAATGCATTTGAGAAGCATTCCCAGGAGAAGGAAAAGGAAATATTTATCCATTGGGTTCTGTCCCCCATTGGTCAAGGGCATTAACTCCTGCACTTCTGGGCCGTGCATCTGTAGGTACCAGGTAGGCTCCTCTGAGTGGTCTGTCATGGTGCCAGAGAAGCCCCAGGGAAGAAATGAAGAGGCACATTTTACAAGACTGAGGTGAGACACTGTCGGGGTTGCACTGTGTGAAGCTGTTCAAAGCCTGCATGGAGCTCATCACCATAACCATGGCCAGAATAAAATGTAGGGGCCAAGAGTGAAAAGCTGCCCGATACAAGAAGGATGCTAGACTTGGACCCAGCAGGGAGAAGTTCTGTGATCAATTAGTGCTGTCTGACATGGGTACGAGAATGGAAGCCTCATCAAGAGTGCTATTATTTTCTACCACTCCTCCAGGGTATACAGGCCAGTTTAGCTTCTATATCCTAGAAAAATAATGATACAGTTAGCTGTGGTCACACACACACAAAAACATAAAATTCCAGTGGCATATAAAAATAAACATTTATTTCCCACACATCTATATGGTTCAGCTGATCCCGGTTGGCTCTACTGATCTGGTCTGGTCTCGTGCATGTGTTTGTGGCTGGGGCAGATAAGCTGGGGCAGCTCTGCTCCAGGGTCCTCTCATCCTCCTCTTGGAAGCAGCATGCTAGTCTGGGCAGGGACTTCTCACATCAATGGCAGAAGCACCGAGGGCAGACTACGATGTGCAGGCCCATTTCAGGCCTCAGTTTGTGTCACATCTGCAAACATTCCATTGGCCAACCAAGTCACATGGATGAGTCCAGAATCAAGAAGCGGGGCATGTCAATCCAGCTACCGTGCCTGGGAGGAACTGCAGAGTTTCATGTCAAAGAGTGTGGATACAGGGAGGGGTGAAAACTTAGAGGCTGTGGAATCTATCACACACAGCAGAAGTAGACATTGCCTCTCAGATTACCCGTGTAAGTTTTGTGCAATAAACATTCATGCAATGAACCTTTATTGAGCAACCTCAGGCTGTGGAATCTATCACACACAGCAGAAGTAGACATTGCCTCTCAGATTACCCGTGTAAGGAGTTTTGTGCAATAAACATTCATGCAATGAACCTTTATTGAGCAACCTTTATATGCCCTACACTAAGGTAGGCACAGAAGGTCTAATGGCTAGAGACCGTGATCCCCACCCTCAAGGCCTTAATGCCCAGTCACTCTCTGAAATGGTCTCAATCAGTGTCAGGGGAATGGACCAGCTAAGCCGCTAGCCTTACAGAGTTCAAAGTAAGAAAATAGGATACAAGTTAAAAATTTTCCAAAAATAATGCTAACAGGTAAAATGTACCTAGTGCCTATGAACTGGAAGATGCTTTGCATATCTCATGTAATCCTCATGATAGCCCTGGGGGAATGAAATATGACTCCCACTTTACAGAGAGAACCAGGTTCAGAGAGTTCAAAATGTGCCCGAGGCCCTGCGCGGAGGAGGAGGTGTGGCCAGGACTCAAGCTGAATCTGTAGCCGCCACTCAGCTCCAGACCTCCCATCAGAAAGTATCAGCCTCCTGCCATTCTTTTATCCCCCAGGGATCGGATCAGGGTATTTCCTCATTTCCTGTCTCAGTTGATGTTTTGTGGATCTTCTCTTTTAGGCTACATTCTGGGAGCCCAGCTGCCCCAGTATTACCAGGTCCTCACAGCTCCGATTACCAAGGTGCTCACCCCGGCCTCAGGCATGCAGTGAGGGGACCTCCCAAAAGGGCCCCTAAGCGCTTCTCCCTGCTGTTTTGCTGTCCAGGTGTTGGATCAGTGGTTTGAGTCTGAGCCTCTAAAAGCCACTCTAGCAACAGACGCTGTGATTGGAGCCATGACAAGTCCCTATACTCCGGGGAGTGGGTGAGTGGTGTAGTTAAGCTGGGCAGTGGGGGTGGGGAGGGGCAAATTCTCCAGCAAGAGTGAAAACTGCTGCCATGTGTGGAGCTCACCCAGTGAGCCAGGCACTAAGCCAAGCCCTTCATGCATGTTTACTGTAACCCCCATAGCAACATCTGAGAACTGCAGTTCAGAGAAGGGAAGTGTCTTACTCAGTGTCATACAGCTAGTAAGTGACAGAGCTGACTTCCTGTCCAGGTTGTCTGACCCCCAAAAAATCTTCTTAGCTAGTACTCTCTACTGCTTCCCTAGGAAAAGCTCCTCCT